CAAGGGGCGAGCTCACCTCCCCACCCCCCACCCCCCGGCGGTGAGTTTCCTCCCTTGCGCACCTCGCCGGCTAACGCGCCTGCGGAATTTCTTCCTATATCCATATCCCCGCCGGTTCCTGCTCCCTTCCTCCTTCTCCTCCTCCTCCTCCGCCAGCCCCTCCTTGCCCGCTCGGGGTGTGAGGCCATGGGGAGGGCCGAGCAGCAATTCATCTTGATTTGTTTCAATTGTCCGGCGATGGCAAAGTTATAATCCTGTATAATTTCACGAACAAGCAGGTTGAGAACGAACGGGTCGATATTATTTAAAAGCAAACACGCCGAGAGCACGACCTTTCCCTTCAACGACGTGTTGCAGCACGAAGTCGCAGGAAACTCGGGGCTAACCTCTCAACCCGCCGGGTTGCGGTGATTTTGGGCTGCTCTTTGTTTCCCTTCAAGTCTGAAAGGGGGATTTGGAAATAGAAATATAATATTACGTGAAGGATCTCCCCGCTGAAGGGAGAAGGTGAACGCAACGGGCGGCAAAGGGGACAGATTATTTTGAACAGGAGCGGTTTTTTGCCAACTGTTTTTTCTTTTCCTCTTTTTTTTTTCCCCCCCTCTCCCCTCCCACCCCCTCTTTAATGTAATAAAAGCTTCCTTCACAGCGGGAGAAATTTATGTTCGAGATACAGCGACTTTGTGGCTGGTAATTCTCGAGGCCAACGATGTCAAATAATCCATTTTTTCGGGGCTGTGCGGGGGAAATAAAAGGAATCCTGCTGCATGGAAGGCAGCACGCCCAAGCTCCGCGTTTCTCAACGTTAGCGCGAGCGGTGTTGTTTTTTGGGGGGTTTTTTAACGCAAAAAAAATGCCAGCATTTACTTGCATTGCAATAAAAAGTACTGCCCTGTGTTTCCAGAGAACGAGATCCAGTGTCAGCAGTCAATCACTGCAGCCCTGTTACCGCTGTGCAGCTTGGCTCAGTAAATAAAAATCCAGACAAAAGTGTATGCTGTATATTTTACTCCCATGAAATAAAACACATTTTTTTTCATGTTTGCTGAAAAGTAAAACAGTAATATCGTACGAAATGTTATACACAGGGCATGTTTTACATTGCAATATCAGAAACATCATTGCATCCACCAGAGGTACTATTCTAAAACTGATATTCACACAATGGGTTTTTTTTTTTAATAATTATATGTTAGAAACATACAGTGTCGCATTTAGTATATACATTCCCTTGCTCGCAAGCGAAAAAATCCTAATCGCTTCTGTGTAACATGCTTTATTTTAAAGCCTAACCTTTTAAAAACACTGTTGTGATATTACTAACAACTGCTTTTATAAAATTAATTTGACATTTCGATATATATACATCCTTTCAGTCATTTTTATGTTAACAATGCTAAACTTAAAAAATAACAAGCTTATAGTAACATTAAAATGTCATATCATATCCAGTCAAACATTTGTCCATATATATATATATATGTCCTTGTAACTGCTGAAATACTCTTAGTGAAAGAAAGATCTCAGAATCTGTAGGAGGTCCTTTGAAAACAAAGGAACTATCTTATTTCAGTGGTTTCCTCCTTTTTTTTCCTCCTCTCTCTCTTTTTCCCCCTCTCTCCCTCTCTGTGCCTCTGCCTGATTTTTCCTGCTTTCTTTCTCTCTAGTGCCCATTACTTTCTAGTGTAATTCTCAGTCTCTGCGGGAAGTGGGGAGGGATTCCCATGCAGTGTTTCCTACTCGGGTGTCTCACACGGGTCTGTCCACCGCATACTGGCAAGCGCTCAGGTTGGAAGCGGGGTTCTGCACACTGGCATAGCCAAAACTGGAGTGCTGCTTGGCTTTAAGTCTCAGACTCGCCAAGCTCGAGTTACATGTGTCCCTATAAACATACGGAGGTGTTGGAGGAGCATAAGGACAGGCTGGCGTCGGCACCGCAGAATTCAGGGAGGGATTGCTCAAGTTGTTCAAGTTATTCAGGCTGTTGAGGCTGGAGCCAGGGACCCCGGTGACCGCAGAGGGCACCATGCTTGAAGACATACTCATGGAGGAGATGGAGTTTGGAGGGGAGAACATGCTCTGAGAAGACAGAGGGTTGACATTCATGGAGTTGAAGAAAGGAAAACTTTTGGTGGAGAGGGAAGCAGACGTCAGCCCCTTGGCTGCCCAGTTGTTGTACGAGTAGCCGGGGTACATGTCGTCGTAGGGCTGCATGAGGCCGTTAAACTGTGGACCGAAGCCGTTTTTGCAAAGCTCGGCTTGCTGGTTCCTTTCTCTCTTTCTCCATTTGGCTCTGCGGTTCTTGAACCAAACCTTTGGAAGCGGGGG